CCTGGGCGGCAAGGGGAGTGCGAGGCCCCTTGATGGGGGGGGCTGGGAGTGGCAAGGCAGCCAGTGCCCAGGCTGAGCCCAGAGGGTGGGCAGGCTCTCCTGGGTGGGCGCACAGTGAGTCTGCACCTAAGACCCAGGGCCCGGAGTTGTGGAAGTGGTGAGCCAGGGTGCTGGGTGGCTGGAGGAAGTGGGAGCTGAGATGGCGAGGGACTTCCGGGAGACAGACCTGGCAGGCAGGGCCAGATGGCTGAGCTGGCCACAGGGTCTAGGGAGGGGAGTGGGAATATGTGAGGAGCAATGTTTTGAGGAGTCGAGTCAGGCTGGCCCAGGAGGAGTGAGAGAGGCAGCAGTCAGGAGGGAAAGGGAAGCCTGTTTTCTGAGCTGGGTGCACGAGGGGGATACGCTCCCTCCGGCCTGGTGCCTCAGGGTCTCTCAAGCTGGGACACCAGGCGGAGAGGAGGAGACAAAGCCCTGCCTGGTTCCTGCAGGATAACAGCACCTTCAACGCCCTCCCACTCCTCGCTGCCATGCAGATGGCCAAGGAGGTCGCAGGTGAGGCCCTGCCCAGAGGCCAGGCCGGCTGCCCGGTGTGCCACCCCCACCACATCCCTACTGGCCGGCTTGTAGAGAGGGAGTGGGGCAGGTGAGGCTGTCCTCCTCGCTGGGCCCCAGAGCGCGGGCTGGCTGACTGTGGGTCCCAGGTGTCCTCTGGCTTGCCTCTCTCGTCCCTGGCCCCCGGCTACCCTCCCCACTCCATAAGTCCCCACCACTTTGGGCAGACCTGAAGAAGATGGTGGCCCAGATGCCCAAAGGGGTGAAGTCACTGGCCAAAGGGTTCCCAGGCTCAGATGCGACTTTGCGCTGGAGCCAGGCCCTGGAGGACTTGGAGCGGGACAGCCGGCCTTACCTGCAGGAGGTGCAGAGATACGAGACGTACAGGTGCCTGCGAACCCGAGGGGTGGGCTCGGGTGGGGAAAGGGACAGCCGGCCTCTGTGTCCGCCACCCCTGGCTGTCCTGAGCCTCTGCCTGCTTTTAAGCCAAGACCCCTGATTCCTCTGGCCTCCCTGTCCCCACCTGACTGGTGCCCTCGGCAACTGAGCCTGGGAACCCCATAGCAGCAATGGGACCTTGGGAGGTGCCACACTTGACTTGTAAAACCCTAGCTTTGGGGTTTCCGGTGGCTCCGGGGATCCAGATGCCTCTCGCTCAGTGGCCCGTACCCCTCCGTGCCAGGTGGATCGTGGGCTGCGTGCTGTGCTCGACGGTCCTGCTCGTGGTGGTCTGTAACCTGGTGGGCCTCAACCTGGGCATCTGGGGGCTGTCGGCTCGGGAGGACCCCAGCCACTCTGAAGACAAGGGCGAGGCTGGAGCCCGCTTCCTCATGGTGTAAGGAAGGGCTGGGGCGAGGGGAGGGTCTCCCCACTGGGCTGGCCAGGTCCTCTTGTTCCATGGTCAGCTCTCAGTGTGGCTAAGGGAGGGGTTCTGGCGGTCAGGAGCCTCCGTGCTGCTCTGGCACCAACGCCCTGAGCGACCCTGGGCATATTGCTGGCCCATCTGGCTTCGGTGTCCTCGTCACACAGTGGCGACTGCAGTACTCCGCGGACATGCTTTCCCACTGAGGCAGGCACAGCCGCACACGCCCCTTCACCCAGGGCCAGGCAGCTGGCAGCAGCAGAGGCAGCAGCAGACGCAGTCTGTCCGCCATCCCTAGATGGGAGGTTCTAGGGCCAGGGCTGCTGCGTGCAGCCGTGCAGGCTGTGCACTGCACAAGGGTGCCTGGGCCGAGGGGCGCCGGGGCTGATTCCCCGGAGGCCGAGTGCTTTCCCACAACCTCGGCCCTGGGGCCAGCCTGCTGACCACGCCGGCCCTGCCATGCGGGTGGGGACCCAGGGGGTGGTCAGGGTGGCCCGTCCTTGCTATCCCTCACCCCTGTCTCTCGCTGTCCCAGGGGTGTGGGCTTCAGCTTCCTCTTTGCTGCTCCCCTCATCCTCCTCGTCTTTGCCACCTTCCTGGTGGGTGGCAACGTGCAGACCTTGGTGTGCCGGAGCTGGGAGAGCGGAGAGCTCTATGAGGTAGGCATGGCCCCTGGGGCCCAGAGGGCGTGTGGGAAGGTGTGGTTGGAGGGAGAGGGTCAGGAGGAAGCGGGAGCTAGAGTAGATAAGGGGAGAGAGTCACATGTGAGTCCCTGTGACATCACCCAGGCCCCAGGGGAGGGGCCCCCGAGGAACTGCAGCCGGACCCCAGCCCCCCTGTCCTAGCCCTGAATCCGGGAACTGGAACCCGAATGAGGTGACCTAGGAGCAGGCCTGAGTTCTCTGCTGAGATCAGGCTGGTCGCCCCGCCAGTGACAGGAAGGGTTCCTGTAAGGAGCGCGGCCAGGCTGGTTGGAGTTGGAGACCAGGTTTGGGCTGGAGTCACAGGGACGCCTCTCACTGCTGCTGTTCAGGGCAGCACAGGGCCACCCTCGGGAAGCCTGGGTGGCCTGGCCTCCCTGCTGTGCCCCATTTCTCCCTGCTCCTCCCAGTTTGCAGATTCCCCAGGGAACTTGCCCCCCTCCATGAACCTGTCCCACCTCCTTGGCCTGAGGAAGAACATCAGCGTCCTCCTAGCCTATCAGTGAGTGCACACCTGGGCTGCGGCTGGCGTGAGGAGGGGCCTGGGCAGCAGCAGGGTGCTGTCCTGCTCGGGCGACATCAGCCCGGCTGGCTGTCCCTGTCGCTCATTCTCAGCGTGCACGTCCCTCCCCAGGCAGTGCAGCAGGGGGGCTGCACTCTGGGAGGTCCTGAAGCTCAATGACTCCTACGACCTGGAGAAGCACCTGGATATCAGCCAGGTAAGAGGACGCTCCCGAAGGCTGTGAGGACCTGGCACATCCCCCTTCTCTAGCTGGCCTCAGTGGAGGCGCCGTCTCTTTGAGCCTGTGACTGAGGCACCTCAGGACAGGAGGCTCAGCTGTGAGCTGAGGGCTTGGGCTAGAGCCCTGGGAACGTTCCAGGTGTGTGGGCAGGTGGGTGTGCCAGCACCTGTGGCCAACTCCGAGTGCTGAGCTCCGGGGAGACGCGGACACGCTGAGGCAGTAGCAGGAAAGGATGGTGCCAGTAAGGAGGCCGAGGACCTGTGTGTCCCAGCAGAGCACAAGCCTTGGCAGGGAGGCTGCGGTCAGGAGCAGGGGGCGGGGATGCAAGTGTGACAGTGAACACCACGTGGTGACCTTGGGGGACGCTGGCAGAGGGAGCACTGCGGCCCTCTGCCGGGCTCACACTGCCACCCGACATGCTGGCAGGATCCCACTCCTGGGCTGCTCCCCCAGCCGCCGCAGAGCCACTGGGATCTCCTGGAACCTGCTGTGTAGGACTGGAGGCATTGGATGCTGGCGAGAGACAGTTCTGGAACAGAGGGAGGGTAGGGCCACTGCACCAGAACGAGTCCTGCAGTGAAGGGGGGCTGTGAAATGCCCCCTTCTTTCCTCTCCCCACACCCAAGTGAGAAGGGGGAGAGGTACCTGGACTGCCAGGGCCCCTGGGAGCTGTTCCTGGGAACCCGCAACCAACTTCCCTGGCATTCCCCCCCCCCCACCCTACACACACACACATAGAGCACGCTAAGTTCGGAGTCTGCATGGCCCCAGGAAACCTTGCCAGCTCCCCTTGGGTCCACACCCCTTATCTCGACCCAGTGGTCCAGGCCCACTCCCTGGCTGAAACTAACCAGGATAGCTGGCAGCCTTAGCTTGCTCTCTTTCGGTGTCTTTGACTGGACGGGAGGTTCACGGAGCAGGCATATCCCAGAACGAGGCTGTGGACACTGCCCTCCTGGATGAAGGGGGCCCTACACAGGGATAGAGAGGTCTCAGCCCTGGTCCTGGCAGGAAAAGGCCAGCTCCCAGAAGAGTCTGGACAGCTAGGGCTTCCAGCACAGGTTGGCCGGGCATCCCTCAGGGCCGTCTACAATATGCCGAATGTGACCTTTACCCTCTCCTGCTCAAAGGCGACAGCAATGAGCTGATTACACAGAGAGAAGAAAGGCAGGTGTGCTTTCCAGGGCACCCTCCTGGCAGGGACGGTCACCCTCCACTGAAATGCTGCCTTAGACCTGCCTCTGAGAGGGCTAGGCTTTTTCTCCCCCCGTGGAGGCAGGACGGGCAGGGGGGCAGAGCTGGCTGCACCCTCCAGCTTGCCGTGGGAACTCGGGCGTGTGAGCACTCCCGTCTGACCTCAGTTTCGTATCTGTCCGACGATGGAGCTGAATTTGATAATCCCGAACGCCTCTTCTAATGATGGCTGAGGAAGTTTGCGGAGAGTCTCTCTTAGAAAGGCGGTTGCGGGAACCAGCAGTTAGCGTAATGGCTATGTCGCTGGACTCCCATGTAGTCGACCGCGGTTCGTGTCCCGAACCCAGTGGCTTAAAACTCACGCCGGGCGCGTGTGCGTGCATGCCCAAGATCCCGAGAGGAGAATGGAGGAGAAGGGATTGCGGCATGGCCATCCCCCCTGGGGGGTGATTTCTCGCTTTCTGTCTCTATGTCTCTCTCTGTCTGTCTGGCGAGCGCACGCGCCCTACAGTGAAAATCTCTCAAAAAAAAAAAAAAAAAGAAAGGCGGTTGCATCTGGGCCTTCGCTCATTCATACAGTGGACAGACTAGTCCACTCGAGAGGCCGAGGCTCTGGGACAATAGAGACAAGGCCCCGGAGCAGACGTAAGCAGGTCTCGGAGGAAGGTAATTGGTGCAGCAAGAGCGGTGGAGGCCTTAGCTGTGATGCTAAAGAGGAAGAGGAGGCGTGCTGTCTCACTCGGGCTCCAGGCAGTCCCGTTCTGAGTAGGCAGCTAGGCCCCGGGGGAAGGCTGGGTCTGGGGTCGGGCAGGGTAGGAGCAGAGGCCTGCTGGGGGCCTGTCTTAGGGACAGAGTGTGTGTCCAGGAGCCTCTCTGGCAGGGGACCCTAGATATCCAGGAGGAGGGCTGAGGGTCTGATGACCTCTTGCCTGGGGAGCATCCCTGGGGTCCTGACGCAGCAGCTGGGCACGTCCCCCACCCTGTCCCCTCCCTCCAGTATACCAGCAAGCTGCAGCAGGAGCTGCAGAACCTCAAAGTGAACATGCAGGATCTGGACCTGCTGAGCCCAGCTGCCCACCGCGACCTGGAGGCCCTGCAGAGCAGTGGGATTGAGAACATCCGCTATGGAGACTTCTTGGTTCAGGTCAGCCCTGGGCCAGCAGAAGGTGACGGCACAGAGGGGCCCACCGAGGAGCTGGGTGTGTCTCTCCTTCCCTCAGCTCTTGCAGGGTTGCCTTGGGGCTCAGGCCTGTCCTGGGACCACCACTTAGGCCATTCAGGAATAAATAGTCCCCCTCAGCCCCAGGGCATGTGCGCTGTTCATGGTCCTGAACCCACAGCTGCGGATCATTAGGTTGCTGTTGTTTTTCTCCCTGTCGGAAACGTCTGACATATTTCACAGCTCCCGGTCAGGCCCAATGGGGACCGAAGTGTCACAGTAGACTCAGATGTGTCACAGCAGAGTGCGTCTGGCAATTCCAGGAACGGGGCCAGGGAGCTAGTGTTCATCCCTTGCGACCTCTCCTGTCCACCCTCAGATCCAGAAGCCGGTGGTGAGGACTGACGTGGGGGAGCTGGCCCAGGAGCTGGACAGACTGGCTCAGGCCCAAGTAAGAGGGGCAGAGACCCACTGGGCAGGCGAGAGTTAGAGGGAGGCCAGGGAAGCAGGCGAAGTGGGGGTGCTTGGGCAGGGGAGGGGCGAGGGCAAACACAGTGAGATCCGAGGCTCCTGAACCCCAGGCTGGGCTTGAGTGTCCTGTCAGTTTCTTTGTCTGCGCTGTGGACTCTGTCTTGATTCAGGTCAAGTACCTGGTCTGACCTCAGGCAGTGGGGCAAACTTTCAAAGTGCAGAATTTGTGGGGATGGGTCCTGGGGACACTGAGATGACTCAGATGTCAAGGAAGTTGATCTAAGCATTTCGTAGAATAGTTGAAAAGTTCTCACGAGTCAGCTCGTAGGTCCCGCCGCATGGTGAGTTCAGCAGATGCCGCTGTGCACACACAGGTTCTGCTGATGCCTTAGCACACCCTCTAGCTAGGGGTGGGTCTAGAATTTAGGCTTAGCCCCTCCTCCCTAGCTTAAGGAGGCCTCTGTTTCGTGCCTCTGAGCCCAATGCTTTGCACTGCTGTTCACAATGTCAGGTTGAAAGGCGAGTGCCCAGCCTGTCGTCCATCCTGGCAGGGGTCACTCTGACACTCTGATCTCTGCCTCCCCTCAGGGCAGCTCTGCACTAGGGCAGCAGCTGCAGGAGGAGGCCCGAGGGCTCAGAAGTCTCTATCAGCAGAAGGTCATCCCCCAGGAGAACCTTGTGGTAAGTTTGGAGACCAGAGAGCCTGGGGCTGGGGGAGAAGGAACAGTAAAAGAGAACAAAGGCCCCTCACCTGGGCCACTCCTCCCAGCCCATTCCCTAACCAGCCTTTGTCTCTCTCTGCAGGCAGAGCTTAACCTCCATGTGAGGGCCCTGGAGTCCTCTGCCCCAGACCTGCAGGTGGCTGCTGGGTGGAGGGTGGGAGTGGGGGGTGCAGGTAGGCAGCTGGGGAAGGAAGGGAGTGGATCTCTCTGCCTCGGGGCCTTGCCCACTCTGCCTGCCCTGCTGGGAGCTGAGGGTGGGCAAGGGAAGAAGAGGAGTGGGCAGATCCATGAGGACCTCCTTCTTCGGCTCCAGGTCCTCAGGGTCTCCCCTCCCCACCAAGGTGACTGTTGAGTGTTACCCACTGAATCTATGCTTGGGGGAGTGAGGGAGTGAGGGAGCGGCCGCTCCGTGCCCACGCGGGGCACTGATCTGCGGCTCCCCATCTTCCAGCGGGAAACCTCGAGTGTCCTAAGCAATGTCACTTACCTAAAAAGAGAGTTGCCAGCCTGGGCCACCAGGATCCTGAGGAACGTGAGTTGGGGAAGGGGCAGGGCAGGAGCTTCCACCTCCAGCTTCTCCGCCAGCACTGTCCCCTCGCCGTGGCTCCCAGGAGAGCATGGCCGGTCCTGGGCATGGGGACCAGGAAGGGCTCCTCCGGGCCCTGCCAGCCCAGGCTCCTGTCTTCCTTACAGGAGAGTGAGTGTTTCCTGGCCCGGGGGATCAGCTACTTCTCCCAGTACGTGGACTGGGTGAGGGAGGAGGTAAGTGAGGGCGCAGGCCCCTTCTGGCCTCAGAGCAACTCCCGATGGCCGGTGCCGGGGGCCCAGCTCTTCACTCTGCCCGGCCCCTCCCCTGCCCTCTGGATCCCCTCAGTGGGCCTTCTGTATGGAACCCAGACTCCCAAACCTGGCCTCCGCACCCCTGCTCGCTGGCTGGGCTCTGCCTACTCCACCTCTGCCACAGTCTTTCTCTGAGGCCTCAGAGAGCTGGGTTGGCTCTGGTTCTCTAGAACATTCCATCACACTCTGCTCCCTGCCCTTTCTTGGGCTAGCACTCCTGTCTAGCTTGTCTGAGGTGAGCCCTGAAAGCCCACCTTGTCCCAGGGACCCTGCTGGCCATGGCCTCTGCAGCTGTCTGGGCACTACACGAGGTGGGCGCGGCTGTGGCTCAGCCCTGAGTGTGTCTGTGTTACATGTGTGCGTCCGTGCATGTGAGCATGAAGACAGGCATGTGTATACATGTATGCATTCACAATACATGCTGCCTCTCCATGAGAGTAACCGGAAGCACAGTAGGGCCTTCATTCAGGTGAGGAGAGGGAAAGGGCCGGAGCCGAGCAAGGCGCCTCTGTGAGTGTGTCCCCATCTCTGTGAACCTGCACCCAGGGTCTGTGTGTGTCCTGCCGTCTGCCTCTGTGCCCTGGTGTGGCGCAGTCCTTGGCTGTGTCTCTGATATGGCTGTGCACCTGTGGGTCTGTTGTCTCTGCATGTACCTATCGGCACCCAGGTGACCCAGCGCATCGCCACCTGCCAGCCCCTCTCTGGAGCCCTGGACAATAGCCGTGTGATCCTGTGTGACATGATGGCTGACCCCTGGGTGAGTGTCCCCCGCCCATCAGGCCCTGACATCAAGGTCCTGTGGGAGGGGCCACGTGAGCAGGGCATGAGACGAGGCTTGCACCTGAGCCCTCGTTCTGCCCTGAGGACTGTGTCCCCTTGCCCCGGGGAGGCTGGCTTGCAGAGCTGCTGGGAGGAGCTGCTGGTCAGCTGGGGGTGCTGACCTCACGCCCCTGTGCAGAATGCCTTCTGGTTCTGCCTGGCGTGGTGCACCTTCTTCCTGGTCCCCAGTATCGTCTTTGCTGTCAAGACCTCCAAATACTTCCGGCCCATCCGGAAACGCCTCAGGTGAGGGGATGCCAGGACTAGTGGGAGGGAGGGGGCATTGGGTATTCAGAAAGGAGGCCTTCCAGGCCAGCAGGTGGCATGGTGGTTAAGGCGCTGGACTCCCACATGGCCTACCACGGGTCGAGTCCAGGACCTGGCCGCTTGTTTTCCTACTTGCCCCTTCTCTTGCTCTCTTTCTCTGTCTCTTTGGTCAAATTAAAAGACAAATAATAACAAATAAAATTAAATAAAGAAATAATAAAATAAATAAATAAAAGGAGTCCTTTCAGCGACTGGGCCTTGGTTCCTGCCATGGCCCCTCCTGACACCTGCCAGGTGGAGAAGGCTCATGGCCTTGCCCTGAAAGGCCGCACCCTCTGAGGAGCTGTGGGGCCGGGAAGTCTCCCACGTGCCTGCCCCTTGCTGCAGTACACCCATGCAGGTGTAGTGTCCCCTCCCCAGGGGGCTTCTGAGGTGCAAGCACTGGGGCTCTGCTTTGTCCGTGTTGGGGCTGGGGTTCTGTGCCAGGCCCGCTCACTTTGGTTCTGTGACGCTGCAGCTCCACCAGCTCCGAGGAGACTCAGCTCTTCCACATCCCTCGGGTCACCTCCCTGAAGCTGTAGGACCCAGTGGGTGAGTGTCCCCATCCCCTGGAACCTGTGGTTAAGTGGATGAGTAGGGGAGGGTCTGGGATTTGGGATTCCCAGGACCTAAGAGGGCAGGAAGGTTCAGGAACTTGATGGGGTCTGGGTGTGGGGCATGGCCCACCCAGCAGCAGGATGGACAGGCCCGAGTCTCACTCTCCCCTGCACCCACTCACCTGTTCCGTTCTCAATTCCTGACAGGGTGAGGTGATCTCTGGGGCTGTCTGCACCAGAGGACTTCTGTAGCTCTTGCCCAGGCCTGGGTTGTCTCGTGACTCGGGCTTGCCGGGCCCCATCTTGCCCGTTCCCCTCCCACCCCGTTTTTGCTCACAACCCCCTCCATTCACTCTCACAGTCACACTCAGGTCCACACGGTGACGCGGCCCACAGGCTCTGCCAGGTGTCCGTCCTTTACCCTCCTTGCTGCACTACTTCACGCCGAGGAGAGTCTGTTCTCCACCTCTCGGAACCCCTGGCCCTGCCCTTGGGTGGGATGGAGGCCCAGTCTAACCCGCTCTGTCCCCACTGCCCCTGCTGCCTGCTCTGTACCCTCTGTTCCTCTCTGAGCTCCTTGCCTCGTCCTGTCTGGGCTCCCTGCTTGCCCTGATTCCCTGCAGTCTCCTCCCTAGCCCTTGGCTTCCTCCCTCCAAAGAAGTCTTTTTCCTCCTTTGCCCCACTGTCACCTTGCTGACCCCCAAGGACCCTGCCTGCCCAACCAAGTTAATCAGGAAAGCCAGCCACCTGCTGAGTAATGGTCATGGCAGCGCCACTATGGCCCAGGTCTGCCTCACGGTGCCTAAGCTCCAGGACCCTGGCCCTCGGCAGGCCCAGCCTGTACTTACTCGCCCCCCACAATGTGAGGAAGGCCTGTCTGAGAGCTGTGCCTCCCTGTCTGCACCCTAGGTTAGTAATAGTAGTGTTGGAGGACCAGCAGATGGCATAATGGTTATGTCATTGGACTCATCTGTAATCAACCTCTGTTCGAGTCCCAGACCTGGTGTCTTAAACACACCGGGCGTGTGTGCGTACATACCCAAGATCCCAAGAGGAGAGTGGATGTGGCATGGCCATTTCTCCAGGGGGTGATTTTTTGCTTTTTGTCTCTCTGTCTTTTCAGTGAGCACACGCACCTTATAGTAAAAAAAAATCTCTCTGAAAAAAAAGAAAAGAGAAAAGAAAAGAAAAAAAAAAAAAAAGAAAAGAAATAATACTGTTGGTCCATGGGTCCTCTCCGAACATCAACTCGCAAGGAAGGTACCCAGGCTGCAATGGGGCTCCACCTTGGCTCCCCAGAAAATAGTGTCTCTCAAGACCCCTACTTAGCCTTTCCAGGAGGGTTCTGGTGGCCAGAACAGGACTTTGCACCAGCCCTTCTGTCCTGTGCACATGGCCTGGGGGCATCCCTAGCCCATCCCCAGGCCGTCCCTGCATGCTGGACCCCGAGTTGCAGAAATGTGGAAGAGGAAGAAAAGAGACAAATGGACCTCCCATCCATGAACATGTCCTCACTTCCTTAAGTCTTGGTTTTGACTCTTTGGAACCAAAGACTCAGGCTGGGGCCCTCAGCAGATGGGAAGTGGGGCCCATTCCAGGAACAGCAGACCTGGACCCACAGCCTGGCCCAGATGCATGTTAGCGGAGCAGCTTGACCAGATTGTGTAGGTCCCTGAAACCTCAACTGCCCCATTTATGCACTCGGGAAAACCACCCTGGCCTCGTCACAGGGCTGTGGAAGCTCCATGTGACCGCGCGTGCAAAGATGGGCATGGAGCGCGGCCCGGAACACGGCCCCAGGAGAAGGGAATGGCTGTTTTGTGCCATGTCTGCTCTGCACCAGGGGCGGAGCCAGAGTCTGGGTGGATAAAGGGAAGAGGGGAATGGGTCTGAGTTCAAAGATAGAAAAGATAGAAGGCCCTTTCAAATTGTGGTTTGTCGAGTTTCAGGGAATGTCCATGTTTAATTGCATTTATAAACCAGTAGCAATCTGTCTCCTAGAAATTAGGATGGATGTATTGGCGTACTGCAAGCACGTTCTCAAAGAAGCAACCTCCAATGTAACACAGTGGCCTCTCTTTGGCTTTCCCCAGAGATGTTTTTACTTGTTCCTCATCTGTTGACCTATGCAGAGAAAGTAGGACCCTGACTTTTTCAAATGCCATTGATGGGATTAATGCAAATAAAACAGAAAACAGTCGTTTCCAGTTCTCTGTCAAAATTGCTTATCTTATACTTTCTATGTTCAAGCATATTAAGCACCGTAATTTTAAATTCAGTAACTCCCTACATGGATCCCCCATGAGTTTTTTTCCTACTGTCTGTTGTTTCTCTAGCTTTTTTGTTAGCTTCGTCTTGCCTCCTCACCTACTTGGCAATTTTCAATTAAGTACCACGCGTGGGAGCCAGCAGATGGCGAAGCAGTTACATCATTGGACTCACACATGGTGAATCATGGTTCGAGTCCCAGATCCGGTGTCCTGAAGATCATGCCAGGCATGCGTGCATGCATACCCAGGATCTCAGAAGGAGAATGGAGGAGAAGGGATTGTGGTGTGGCCATCCTCCCAGGGGGGCGATTTCTCACTTTCCCTCTCACTGACTCTGTCTCTGGGGAACACATGTGCCGTAAGGCAAAAACCTTTAAAATGAAAAAGAAAGGGTGCCATACATGGAATCTGAAAACCTGTTGAAATCATTTGAGGTCTAGGGTGAAGTTTCTTTCCTCTGTGAAGGCCGTGTTTGCATCTGGCTGGTGGTTAGGCATCCAGCAAACCAGGATCGCACTAATCCACTTGGAGGTGAGGGACTGCAGTCCCTTTAAGGGCAAACCCACTTCCAGTTCGTCTTCCTCCAGTGACACCCTCTGGGGCCCAACTCGAAGCATGAGAGATTTGCCGGGCACGCCCTTCTCTTGGTAAGCCTGGTCTTTAGCCTCAGAAGTTGTTAAAAAGCTCTGCTCAGCATCTTCGTAGTATTTTCTGCAATCAGCAGACCCCCTAGGGAGGATTGTGGTGTGGCCATCCTCCCAGGGGGGCGATTTCTCACTTTCCCTCTCACTGACTCTGTCTCTGGGGAACACATGTGCCGTAAGGCAAAAACCTTTAAAATGAAAAAGAAAGGGTGCCATACATGGAATCTGAAAACCTGTTGAAATCATTTGAGGTCTAGGGTGAAGTTTCTTTCCTCTGTGAAGGCCGTGTTTGCATCTGGCTGGTGGTTAGGCATCCAGCAAACCAGGATCGCACTAATCCACTTGGAGGTGAGGGACTGCAGTCCCTTTAAGGGCAAACCCACTTCCAGTTCGTCTTCCTCCAGTGACACCCTCTGGGGCCCAACTCGAAGCATGAGAGATTTGCCGGGCACGCCCTTCTCTTGGTAAGCCTGGTCTTTAGCCTCAGAAGTTGTTAAAAAGCTCTGCTCAGCATCTTCGTAGTATTTTCTGCAATCAGCAGACCCCCTAGGGAGAAAGTAGCCCCAGATGGTAGCAATGTCTCTGGATTTCTTCATTTTCCCAGATTTTAGCCCTGAATTATTATTATTATTATCCATTTAAATTTTTGTTATAGGATGCATGTGCTTGCAGAGGGAAAGTGAGAGAGCACGCCCCTGGGGGCGGGGGGCGTAGCCATGCTGCAATCCCTGCCCTCCATTCTCCTCCTGGGACTGTGGGTGCACACTCGCAGGTGCCTCACACTTTTCTCAAGCCACCAGGTCTGGGACTCAAACTGCAGTTGGCCATGTGGGCTCCAGCTGCCTTAACCACCACACCACCTGGCTAGCCCGACCCTGTAAGTCTTTACTTCCTGTTTGTTCCCCAGTGTCTTCAGATTTAAACATATATATATTTTTTAAATAAATATATATAACTTTAAAAGCTGCATTTTGAGCAGTTTCTTTTCTTTCCTTTTTTTTTTTTTAAACATTTGCCAGCGGGCATGTGCTCTTGCCAGAGCCGGAAC